TTACAGTAACACCTACATGCCCCGTGCGCCAGGTGCTGTACCTTTGCAATGCTATTAGGTGTAATACAGTAACACCTACATGTCCCGTGCGCCAGATGCTGTACCTTTGCAATGCTATTAGGTGTATTACAGTAACACCTACATGCTCCATGTGCCAGGTGCTGTACCTCTGCAATGCTATTAGGTGTATTACAGTAACACCTACATGCTCCATGTGCCAGGTGCTGTACCTTTGCAATGCTATTAGGTGTATTACAGTAATACCTATGTGCCCAGTGTGCTTGAAGCTATACACTTTTAATGCTATTACAGTAGTGGTATTACAGCAGCACCTTGGTGCCCACTGTGCCAGGTTTTGGACATTTTTAATAGTATTAGGTGTATGATGGTAACACCTACTTACCCCAGTCATGGACCCGGACCCCAGTGCACCAGGTGCTGTACACTTTTAATGCTATTACATGTATTACGGTAACATCTAGAAGCCTCAGTCATGGACCTCAGGCAATACATGTTTAATGCTATTAGGTGTACTATGGTAGTACTGAGGTCTCCAGTGTGCCAGGCCCTGTACACGTCTCATGCTATTAGGTGAAATACAGTCACAACTAAGAGCCCCAGTCAAGGGCCAGACCTCAGCGTGCCAGGGGCTGCCAGACACAGAGCAGAAAGGCAGCCCCTAAGTCTATGAGGTGGAGACAGATGCAAGAGAGGAACACCACCCTACTCGCCCCAGCTCTCTGCATTAACATCTCCAAGCTCTTTTCAAAGGATGAAATGTCACAGGCTACAGCCGAGGAAACTGAGGCACAGAGGTGCATGGGGATGTGGTGAAGGTGACACAATAGCAAAGAGGGTGGTCCTGACTGACAGTACCCCACCCCCACTGCCTCCTGGCAGAGCTAGAGAGGTCGAAATATTGCTAACAGCACTGAGGAGAGTGAAAGTCACAAGCATCCCCAAACATCTGACACTAGAAATCTGCAACTTAGATACCCCCAACGGCCTTAACTCTGCCCCTATAGAGCGCCAGTCTCCCATCTTCCCTTGCTAAAGTGGGGGGACAGAGGATGGGCTCAAACACGTGGCAAGGGAGCCAGCCCAGCGAGGCTTGTTCCCATGTCCCCTGGCTGCAGGGAAACCCAGCCCTTGGTGCCTCATTGGCCTAAGGGATCACAGTGGCCCGAGGCTGGTGTCAGATCGAGCCCTGCTGCAGCAGTCGTGCGTGGGAGCAGCCGGCTGAGAAGGACGGCAGGAGAGACCATGCAGGGAACTGGAGATGCAGCGGCACAACCTGCGTTTAGCTCCAGCTCTGGGCTGCTGCAAGTCCTGCTCCTGCTCCATGCCTCAGTTTCCCCTCCCACTTCATCTACTGAGATGAGGCTCCTTGGGGCAGAAGGGTCCATGCAGGACAGTGGCCCCTGCCTGGGGAGTGTGAAAGGCCTGCCGGGCAGGAGGCTGGGCGGTGCCTGGTGCAATGCAGCCCAGATTTGCAGGGAGCGTGGGAGGCGCCCATGGGAGGGCTGCCGGTCCCATGGGGCAGGCTCCAGTTGGCTCTGGCCCGGCCGGGGCTGGCTGCCCTGCCCAGATGCTGCCATAGACAGATTCCCCTCCTAGCCTGCTCAATGCAGCTTTCCCCTCCTCCTCCCACTGATTCACTCTCCTGCCCCCTCCTGCGGCTGGGGCCCTGCCCAACCAGGCCCTGAGCTCATGTGAACCTGAGGGCTGGCGGCTCCTCCTGGCTCTGAGCCCCGGGCACATGGAACCTGCTTCCTTCCTGCCCCTGGCTGCCCTGGGGGGAGGGCCGAGGCCCCTTGCATGAACCCTGGGTGGAGGCCCAAGCCCTTTAGGCCTTGCAGCCCCCTGAGGAGCAGGGTCCCTGGCTGCCAGGGGCTCCAGGCAGCATCACAGCAGCTGGGAAGAGGCTGCTCTGGGGGAGGGGAACATGGACGGGCAGGGCTCAGCTGAGCATCTCCCACTCCCTCCAGGCAAGGAGCAGAAAGGAGGAAGAGGCACTGGGCAAGCACTCAGCATGGCCTGACCCCAGCAGGAGCCAAGTGGGGCCGAGAGGGCACCCTGGCTGCCTGGGTTCCAGTTGTGGCTTGCCAGCTGGTGGCGTGCCTCAGTTTCCCCTCCCACCCTGGAATGCTTTAGGGCCAGGATGGTCTGGGCAACGCCTGCCGCGAGAAGCATGCAGAAGGTGCCGGGCGACCAGCAGCCAGGGTGCTGAACCTGTCCATTGGTTTTGCTGGGCCAGGCCTGTGGCCCTCGCTTCAGGCTGCACATGGGGGAGGGGCAGGCCTGGGCCCACGGTGCTGAGGCATTACCGTGAATTGTATGACGGCTAGCCAGGCCAGCCCATGAGCAGCTGCATTGTGCTGAGCTCACCGGATCCAGGCTGCCCCCCTCCTCCCCCTTCCCCCGGCACAAGGGGCAAGAGCAGAAACTCTCTGGAAGCAGCTTCCAGCAGGCTGGCTGCAAGCACCACAGCAGGCCAAGTGGCAGAGCCAGCAATGCCTAGGGCAGCTGGCACCCGGCCAGGGTAACCCCACCCCAGCGAGGGGCAGCCCATCCCCGCGGGAGCCTCGCTGGGGTCCCCGGGGGAGCACTGGCACCAGGCCCAGGGGTGCAGTGCTGCAGAGAGCAGCATGGCTCAGCAGGGGGCGCTCTCCCAGGCAGGGCAGCAGCAGGGGAGAACTGGCAACCTGCCCCAGCCGAGGGGTCCTCCAGCAACACCAGAGCTACCTGTAACCCCAGCCTGTCCCCCGCCCCAGGAGCCCGGCCGGGGTGCGAACACGGAGCCACGGCTCCGCAGAAGAGACGGGCTGATTACAGGAGCCGAAGGGCTGGCTGGAGTAACCAAACCGACTCCCTGCATTGCCTACAGATGCATCTGCTTCCTTCCACCCGGAGAAAGGGGAGACAAGGAAAACCAACCCCCCCACCCGACACGCTCGGCCCTTGCCCGCCCCAGGAGCCCGGCCGGGGTGCGAACACGGAGCCACGGCTCCGCAGAAGAGACGGGCTGATTACAGGAGCCGAAGGGCTGGCTGGAGTAACCAAACCGACTCCCTGCATTGCCTACAGATGCATCTGCTTCCTTCCACCCGGAGAAAGGGGAGACAAGGAAAACCAACCCCCCCACCCGACACGCTCGGCCCTTGCTCTAAACCTGTTTATGTTCAAAACAACTGTGCTGCTTCTGCCCCCCATCCCCCCCAGCCGCCCCTCCCGCCCGCCTCGCTGCTGCTGCTTTTCCTGGCTGGAGGAAGCGTGGGAAAGCACGGGGCTCGGTTCCTGACGGGAAGTGCCTTTAATTTCTTCTTATTCTTTCTATGGAGGAGGAGGAAACAGAACAAAACCAGCCAAGGGGAGCTCGTGGGCTGAAGTAGCCCAGCCTCGCTGAGGTGCACGGGACAGCTGAGTCATGGGGAGGGCAGGGAGCGGTGTTAATATGCCCGGGGGGGGAAGGGGGGGTACAAAGGCATGGAAGGAGAGATGAATCTTCCCTGCTCCCCCCTCGCCTTTGGGCTCAGCATGGAAATGAGGCGACTGTTCCATTCGACCCCTGCATTAATCCACTGCCAAACAGGACAGGGAGGTGAGGAAATTATTCTGACAGGCACAGATCTCAATTGTCTTTCCAGCTGCACCAGCAGCCTCAGTAGGTTTCACCCTGATGCATTTGAGCCTGTTGCAGAGCTGAGAGCTAACCCTGGTTTGCTGAAAGCCCCCGGAGTTCCCTTCCAGGCATTGGGGGTGAGGGGGTAGCCATGCGGCACAGTCTCAGCTGGGTCCCAGCCCAGAGCCCGGCCGAGTAAGGGAACGCTGCCCCTGCTCCTTCCACTCCGGGCCCAGCCAGCCTTGGTCTCGGGCGAGAACCCAGGCCCCATTGCCCCGAATGCAAACAGGTCTGCTCCCCCTTGAACAGCGTCCACCCACAACTGCAGCGTTAACCCGTGCCAGGGACCCTCCACACTCCCCCATCCGCTGCCTTCCCAATGCCAGACAAGGCCCCCTGGTCAGCGCAGGCGTACCCCCCGCAGGAGGCCAGACGCTGCCGCTCGCTTCCTGCCAACCACAGGAAGGGATAGTCACAATCCAAGGATCTTACTTCAAAATTCAAGCGCGTGGCTTTATGGCTCCACGGCTCCAGTGGCTTTATTGTGGGTAGGCTCCCCCGTGGCACAGTGACATCGCAAGGCTGCTTAGGACTCACCGCACACCTTGCTCCAGGGAGTCCTCGCCCTCCCCCTCCCCCATGCACCCGAGTGGCGTGAAGCCGCTGAGGGGACAAGGGCAGTGCAGGAAGGAAGGGGAGGCGGCCCCGGGAAGGTAAGAAATGAGGCAGGTGGCAGGCTCAGGGGAGGAACATCATGAGGAAACTGAATTCAGTGCCCAGGAGCGTGGGCAGAGGCTGGCAGCTGGAGGTGTCTTTTGTTTTACAAGTGCTCTGCCAGCTGCCCCTTTTGTTTCTACACTTGCCCAGCGCGCGGCCTGACACCCCAGCATGGCCGGTGTGGCCAAGGCAGATCATGAGGCCCACACCCCGCCGGTACGGAGGGACTGCCCTGCTAGATGGCTTGTGACCGCTGCCACAGCAGCCCCTGGCTCTGCTGAAATCCCCCTGGCCTTTCGCCAGGAGCCAGTGGGTCCGCTGCCCCTCCCTAGGGACATGGTGACTTCAGAGCCCACCCGCTACCCCACCCCTGACTAGGCGGAAGCAGCAAGGCAGGGCTGCGTGGGTGGGAGCTGCCTGGAGAAGAGGACCCTTTATTTGCACGTGTACCTCTGCGCCATCCACGCCAACCAGAGCAGCACGGTGCCCTCTCTCCTCTGAAGGAAACACCATGGAAGGGGGCAAGCTACATGCTCACCCCCCTCCCCCGGCTTGCACTGAAGTCCAGTTCCCTGCAGACACACGGCCCCCGCAGGGCTCTGGAGAGCGGCCCTGACGGCAGTTCTGCAGGCCTTGCTGCTGGGGTGCCGCTGCTGGCAGCCTGCCCCCACGCCAGCGCGTGGGGCGACACAGGACAGTCACTGCTGCTTGGACCGAGGCCAGAGCCGGCTTGCCAGGGAGCCCAGGAAAAGCTGCTGCTGCTTCTTGTTCTTGGACAGGTCGGCGAGGCGCTGCTGTTCCTCCTGCAGGCACAGGGAAGGACACAAAGCCCACATTACTGGGGCACGCTCCCACCTCCCCGGCCCACGGGGCCCCGACAGCCCCGAGCTTCCGGGAACCTCCTCGTAGCCTGAGTCCTCTCTGGTCTGGCGACCAGGGCTGGCTCCCCAGCCACAGCCCGGAAGGGACCCTGCCCACCCAGCTCCCAGATGTAGGAACAGGCTCCGACTGCCAGCTCCATGCGTTCGCTCCCAGCCATCCCTCCAGAGGCGCCGGAGCCACGCCCACTGCCCGGGGGCCGAGTCAGCGTGTGAGCCTCACCAGAGGATGCTCCAGTTACAGAGGTGGGCCCGTCCCCGAGGTGGGCCCGTCCCCGAGACGTTCTTGCGCAATACAGCTCAGGGGCTTGTGGGAGCACCGGCTTCTAGTCCCAGCGCTGCTGCTGGCCGGCCTGGGGCACTCACTGCCTTGCTCCGTGCCTCAGTTTCCCCACATGTACCATACTGACCTGCCTTGTAAAGCTCTCTGAGCTCTGAAGAAGAACTCGGGCGCAGTCATGACAAGGTAACAGCTACATGGGTTCTGACAAGTAAAACCCCCAGCGTGGACGCCACCCCCCGCTCTCCAGGGGCCTGGCAGGTACTTCCGGCGGGATGGCTTGTCTGGTACGTTTGTAAGCCAATAGAACGAAGACGCCTGTGGTACCTTAGAGCCGTGGTGTCCAGCCAGGTCTGAACTAGCCACGCTCATGGGGCTAGTGTGTTGGACACCACGGCCGTAGAGACGAAGGCTCCTGTGGGCCACAACTCTGCCAGACTCTGACCCGCCACACATTATGCCTGAGTAAATATCAGGCTGTAGGGTGCCCCGGGACTCCTCGTTGCTACCACGGCTGCCCCGAGACGTTCACGCCCACACCCCGCAGCGCCACGGTATCTGTGTGCAGAGCAGCACCAGGCAAGGGCTCCCACGTGCAAGCCCCACCCCCTCCATGTGGCTGATCCCTCACCACCATCCAGCACCTGCCTAGTCTCCATAGCGCACCCGGCAAGCGGGGAGGGGACGGGACGTTTGAACAGACACACGACTCCACTGGGGAGTTATTCCGAAAGACGGTGAGTGCCACACGACCAGGCCTGTGACTGCCAAGGAACAGCACCGGCTTACGCGGAGCAGCAAGCTCACTTGGAAAGCGCCCGGCAGTGCGGGCACAGCCCGAGCCCCAGCCCCACGTCTGTCCCACGGGGCCAGCGAGCAGGAACCTGCCCGGCTCCAGCGTCTCCCTCCTGCCCTTACTGTGTTTCATCTACTGCCACTAAGCCCTGCGGGGCCGGGTCTGTCTGCGCAGCGCTGGCCCAGCCTGCTCCCCCACCCCCTTCGGCCGGGGCCGCGAGGTCAGCGCCCTTACTTGCTCCAGCTGCGTCTGCCTGCGTTTAAAGGCTTCCAGTGGGTCAGCCTCCAGCGAGTAGTTCTCCAGCACCGTCCGCACGTCCTCCACCCCACTCATGGCAATAGCTGTGGGGCAAGGAGAGGTGAGCACGCCGGCCTCAGAGGCAGGGACTCAGGTGCTGCTGGGGATCAGAGGCTCAGGGCAACAGGCTCTTCCGGGGGGACCACAAGACCCCACTTGCAGCCCAGGCCCTGCCACATGTGTATCCCCACATCCCATGGGGTGGGGACACGGGCCAGGGGCTGCTCTCAGGCCCTTCTCTTCCCCCCGGCAGCTGGAAGGTCTGTGGCTCCAGCTACTGGCCCAACCAGGGGGCATGGCCTCAGAAGGGGAGAGCGCCGCTCCAAAGGCAACTTTCAAAAGTGGGAGGGGCCATGGCCCCCAGGCCTCCCTCTTGTGGTGCCCCAGGTAAGGCCCCCCGGAAAGGCAGCCCAGTCCTGGGACGCGTGGGAAAGATGCCAGCAGCAGCAGCTACGCTGGCAGCCCCTCGGCTTTCCTCTCCCCCCAGTCCGGCCCCCCACGGGCGGGGGAGGCTGTCTCCTGGACTCCCACTGGCCCAGGGCTTCCTCGCCGCAGGAACAGGCCCGGCGACCCCTGAGTCACCACCCAGACAGGCGGCAGGAGCTGCCTCTACCGTCCCATGGCTTCCCGAAGGAGCCCATCGCCAAGGGCCTCCCGGCGGCAGCAGGCCCCTCCCCTTACTCTTCAGGAAGGCGGCGAGGTCGAAGAGCGGCCTGTCGTCGGAGCTACCGTCCCACTTCTTGAGCGCCAGGCCGTTGAAGGGCTGCAGGTGGAAGGCCTCCTTCTTGCAGTCCACCACCACCACCTTGGCCGGGTCTCTGTTCAGGCAGGAAATGTCCTAGCGGTAGGGACAGGAGACAGAAGCTGAAAGCTGCTCTCTCCAGCATCCTAGCACCCCACACAGCCGGCACCGTGGGGCGCTGCAGGACCTCCAGTGGGCCCCCCACAACCCCTCCTCCCAACAGCGGCATTCAGGCGGCCTGGCCACCCGGTGGGGTCAGAGCTGCCTCGGACGACAGAGCAGCTGCCCTCTGCTGGCAGCCCCAGAGTTTCACGCGTGGCAGGGAAGCGCGAGCAGCTCTGCCCGAGGGGTGGGCACCGGAAGCGGCATCCCCAGCTCCAGAGGGATTTCAGACAAGTCCATCGGGCACAGCTCTGCAGTAGCGGGGACAGATCAGTGCCAGGCCCCGGGCACCCGAGGCTGGGGGGGGGGCAGAAACCCTAGGATTTGTCTCCTCAGGGATGGGAGACTTGGCTAGTTGATCCGCAGGGTTGCTGGTCACTCTCACTCCGAGGCAGCTGTTCCTCAGCCTAGACGTCCCCCACTCCACGCCAGGGCCAAATAAGGAGGGCAGTTTGCCTCTGACTTGGCACAGTGTCCAGGGCTCACCGTGGGGCAAAGCCGTTCAAGAAAACTGCCAGCGACTCAGCCCATCACCCCGCCCGCTCTGCCGGAGGGGCTGTGGCGTCTCAGCACACAGATCCATAGCTGGCAGGCAGGCTCACAGCCCAGGGTCGGAGGGCTCAGAGCAACTATTACAGGGAGCTCTTCTGCCTGTGCTCTGGGGTGGGGGAAGAGATGCCACCCCCTCCGCTGGGACGATGCACCCCTGCTTGTTAGATCCCTCTCCGCCCCCCCCCCCCCCCCCCCCCCCGCCCCCCCTGCCCCGCCTCTCCCCCAGCCCTCCCAGGCCCAATTGCACACACACACCCTCCTGTCCAGCACACTGTCTTTCGCCCCACCTGACCCCGAGGCC